TCCTCTTGGTCTCTCCTTCTTCTTTTTAGTAATGTTTTTAATTAAGGTTTTATTTATTTATTTATATATTTTATGTTTTTAATGTTTGTTGCGAATCGCCCAGAGTTCCCCCATGGGGGGGAGATGGGCGGTTGAAAAATTTAATAAATAAATAAATAAATAAAATATCCTCAACCTTGGTTCTTCTGGCCAGGGAATGCGCCCACCAAGGAAGGAAGTGCCCACCCTCGTTCACTGGTGCTTCCAGGGAAGCACCATGCCTCAAATTAGCGGGGAGCTGGATCACGACCTGCCTGCTGTAATTTCCTAGAATTTTTCCTTTCCATCTCAGCAAAGCCAAGATTTGCACCCCCAGGTTACCGTTTGCGTGCTGCCCCGCTTTTCCTGCGAGGCTGGGGAACGGGCTGAACTTTGAGCAACACTAGGGTGCCTGAGTCATTGCCCCTGGAGCCAGACAAGGCTTCTGGGGACAAAGGTGCTGTGTGGGTTTGCCCACAGCACGAAGCCCGGCTTGCCAACTGTGCCAGCAAGGTGCAACCATCTTTGGGGCAGAGGCTGACAGCGAGCCCTGGACCTCCTCCAGAAAGTCAGCAGGGCGGGGACAAAATGGAATTTGACAGTCACCAGGGCCGCTGCCTGTCCCTTTCCTTTCCTCCTCTTCTCCTATCAAGCTTTACAATTTGGAAGCAACTTTTGGAGGGCTGGGTGGGCATCCCAGAACCTTTCAGAGGCTCCATATGGCTCTGGGCAACCTCTGGTTTACTGAATCAGGGCTAACCCCAGGGACCAGGCTCACTGAGCCAAGATTTGACCAACTGGTTTGTGTTCTGGGGGAGCCAGGAGGGTGTCTCTGGCTGGGACGAATAAAGCAGCTGAGGTCGGTTTTCAAAACAGCCACGTTGCAGCCAGAAGGAGCGTTGAGTGCCAGGCTAGCAGGTTCGTGAGGATTTGTTGGCTTCCAAGGGTGGCAAGAAGTGTTGTGGTGGTACATCCTGGCCCCTAATCTGGTTCTTTGGTTTTGTTTAAAGGGGGCTCAGCCGCTGGGGTTTGTAAACCATGGTTTATGGGTTAGTGTATGGCGTGAACCCCGTCACTTGTGGCTTATTCAACAAACTGTGCTGTTCAGAATCACAGGGACCTTGAAGGTCATTTAATCCAACTGCCTGCTCAGTGCAGGATCCACTAGCTGGGGAATTCTGGGAGTTGAAGTCCACCCATCTTCAAATTGCTGAGGTTGAGAAACACTGCACTAGAGCATCTTGGTTAGATAACATCCAGCCTTGGTTTAAAGACCTCCAGCGAAGGGGAAACTGGCAAGTCACGTGGCAGGCCGTACCGCTGTCTGACCGCTTGCACAACCTGAACCTCCTTCCTTGCGTTTTTGACCACTTGGTTCTGGCCACGTGCCCTGGGGCCGCGGAGAGCAAGCCCACTCCCTTGGGAGAGATGCCATCCGACCTCTCCTCGGGTAAACGGGCCCCAGTCCCTCCTAGGGCTTGGTTTTCAGGCCCCTCCCCGCCTTCCTCTGAACTCGCGCTATCAGAGGGCGAGGCAGACCTACACCCTGCAACATGGAGCCTGGCTGGAATCACAGGGCTCTTCGCCAGGGCTAGACTATGCCAAAGAGGGGAACCCCGGATTCGTTTGCCCACTGTGGCAAGAGCTTCCGTGAGGGGCACGGTAGAGTGAGGCACCACTTCTGGGCATCTCTGGCCTGTGGGTAGCATCTTGTCCCACCCCCCCTCTGCCCGCAGAAGAGGGGCAGGGGTGTGGGGCAGGGCGGTCTGTCTGCTACTGTGTCTCCCTGCATCTCCACTTTCGTCTGCCATTTCAGGGCACATCCACTCTCAGGTGCGGAGACCTCATGGAAGCCCCGGGCTGCAGATTGTGAGTGCCCCTTCTCCTTCCTTCCTTTCCTCCCTCCCTCCCTTCCTTCCTTCCTTCTCTCTCTCTCCTCCCTCCCTCCCTCCCTCCCATCCTCCCTCCCTCCCTTCCTTCCTTCCTTCCTTCCGCCTGACCCCTGGCCTCCCCCTGCACTGCCCTGGTCCCAGAGGGGGGCAAGGGGCATCTTCTATGCAGCAGCCTGGGGGCTGCCTGGGGACTTTGGAGGCTGAGAGGCCCCAGGAGAAGAGGAGGCTTCCTGCAGCGCAGGGTGCCTTTCTCCCTCCCAAGGCAGGGTGTGGCCATCTGCTGGGCTGGAGCAAGTTTGGGCATCTGGCCAGGTTTGGTCTCGCCTGTCTCCTGGGCCTTCCAGCTTGGGGTGCCCAAAGGCAGTGCAGGGCCAAGCCAGGCCCTCCTCTTGCGCGGGTGGGCTGTGTCTGGGTGGTCTGGAGGCTGACCCTTTGCTCCCTCTTCCCCTTAGATGTCTTCAGCTCCTGCGACTTTGATAGCGCCGACCGCCCCTTCTGCGACTGGACCCAGCCCCAGGACAGCCATGGCAGCCTGTGGCTCCGAGAGCTCGGGCAGAAGCCTGGGAACAGCCCTGGCCCCCCCGAAGGAGACATCGTACGGAGTAAGAGCTGCACGGTGGCCCCGGTCCCTTCTGTGGAGGCTCTGCTGGGGCCCCTCTCAGACCAGCTCCCCCAAGAGGCCCTGAGGCGGGTGGGCGCCCCTCAGGTTGGCACAAGCTTTAAGCTGAGCATCTGTGGAGTGCCCCTGCCAGGCCATCTCCCTGCTGCTGGCTTGATCTGGGTCCTCTCCTCTCCTGGCTGAGCTTCCCCGCAATCCGGAACAGGCCCTGGGCTCCCAGCAGAGGAGTGGGGCTGCCTCCCGGACCAGGGGGCCCGGGGGAGCCAGCCAAGGCACGCCCTGCAACGCTTTGCCCCTTCGGGCTGCGGCTGGAGAGACCTTGCCGAGCCCTCCAGCACCCAGGTGGCCTAAAACGGCCATGGCTTGTCCCTTTCCAGGAGAGTATTACATCCACCCAGGAGACGGAGGGTCTGCGCGGTTGGAGAGCCCGGATCTGGACCCGGCCGGGGCAGAGGTCTGCGTGCGATTCCTCTATTATTTGTACTCCAACACCTGGAAAAGCCAGCTGGCGGTGGAGGTCCAGGATGCTTCGGGCAACGCCGCCCCCTTGTGGACCCGGAATGAATCGCAGAGCTCCTCCTGGCTGAGCGGGGCTGTGACCGTTCCCGCCCAGGCTCAGCGCCCCTTCAAGGCAAGTGCCGGGCACGGAGGGCTGCTCCGGGGTGCCACCCCCGAAGGAGAAGGTTCTGGGAGTTCTCGAAGCCTCTTTCCAGCTCGAACAAGATGTTTTCAGTTTGTTTGTTTTTATTTTTAGTTTATTATTTTATCTGATTTTATTTTATTATTTTGCAAATTTATAAAGCCACCCATCTCGCAAACGTGACTCTGGGCGGCGTACAACAGAAACTAGACAACCAATATAAACTACTATTAAAAACCATTAAGCATAAATAGAACTGCGGGAGAATTAACAACCTCCTAAACACCAATATACCCCGGTTACCTCTCACAGTTGGCCTGCCTGAAGCTCTCGCCGAGTGGACCCTTTGCGCAGTAACCGCTTGCCCTTGTCAGATCTGTATTTCGGGGAAAAAAGTCCACATAGCTCTTGCTGGACCCTTGCCCTGAGAGCCCCCCTCCACGCGCCTGCGTCCTGCTGTGGGTTGCCAGAATGAGCTTCCGTGGAAAAGGGGACGAATAACAGTCTCGGTTTTGTGGAACTTTGCATTCATGCAGGTCGCGCAAATGCTTAAATGTTTAAAGAGCAGGAACAAACCCTGATCTGTCTCTTCACTCAGGTTGTTTTCAGAGCCACGCAGGCCAAGGGACCAGACATTGAAGTGGCTGTGGACTCCATCTCAGTCCAGCTCGGCCCTTGTTCACGTAAGCATTCCCCCCCCACCCATATTCCTGCTCCCCCCATATTCATGCTCTGGGGCAGTGTTTCTCAACCTTGGCGGTTTTAAGGTGGGTGGACTTCAATGCCCAGAATTCCCCAGCCAGCCTGG